AACCCTAGGGTTAAACCCTAACCCTAACCCTAACATGTCACCCATCTCCTTTGCATAGAGTTGATCAGGTTGTTGATTGTGGCCTGTGGAATGTTGGTCCACTCCTCTTCAATGACTGTGCGAAGTTCCTGGATATTGGCAGGAACTGGAACACGCTGTCGTATACGCCGATCCAGAGCATCCCAAACATGCTCAATGGGTGACATGTTAGGGTTAGGGTTTAACCCTAGGGTTTTCGGACCCCCCCAGAAAAAGAAACCTGCAGGGTTAACAGGTTAACTAGACTGAGAGCCTTGGCAAAATGCATGCCCTTCACTGGGCATGGTAACATTGTAACATCAAGAAACCAGCAGTGATATTCTATTTGACTGTGGAAGTGTGTGTGTGTGTGTGTGTGTGTGTGTGTGTGTGTGTGTGTGTGTGTGTGTGTGTGTGTGTGTGTGTGTGTGTGTGTGTGTGTGTGTGAGAGAATGTTCTGTGAGCTCTGTTTGGTCAGCTCAGTAAACTCCTTTGTTTTATTCATATCCTCCAGCTATAACATTTTTGAAAGGGCTTCTTGGGTTCTTGTGTTGTTATTCGGGATTTTCTATCTTCTCTCAATCTGAGCTGGTAGAGCTTTCATGTTCAGTTTCATTTCCAGTATTTTTGAACATACCTGGTTTTTGTCAAGCTCACAGTTCTTATACTCCTGCTCTCCTTGCTCCTGGAAGGTGACAATGACGAAGCCAACAAATATATTCATCATGAAAAAGGCGATAAGGATGAGGTAGAAGATGAAGAAGATCGAGATGGCCACTCGGTTGTTGTACACTGGACCTTTATCTTCTAAGTTGGAATCAATGGCTTTATATAATATCCTGGGTAAATAAATACAAAAGAAAAATGAAGTTCACAGAAATAAATTAGAATACAGGGAATAATGGTTTGCGGAAGTAAAGGGGACTACACTTTGTATTCATGCTGCATACAGCATATCACAGAATGAATTAGGAACAACAGTACACAGAACAATTCAGAACTCACTTTGGCCATCCTTCAAAGGTAGAAATGGTGAAGAGGGCTAGCATTCCGTTGAGGATGTTGTCAAAGTTTAGTCCTGAGTTGGTCCATTGCCTCTCATGGACCTCCATTTCATGGAGTGCTCCTTCCTGGTACCTTATATACCAGCCTCTGAGCCACACAGAAGGAACGGACAGGCAGGGCTACAGTCAGATCCACTGTCTGCAGGTTCATCCAGCTAAGTTTAACAATTTCAGGACCTTTTAAATATGAAAAAGCTAGAATTTGAACACACTGCGTTATGGTACTGATATTAGAAATGGATATCATTTTAGCTGGGCCTTTGTCTTGGGTGGTTAAAATGTTTATTTTTCTGATCTCCCAGGACATAAGAGTACAGTGCTTGCTTCCATGCATGAACACCTGTCTTTTTTTCAAATAAATCCTAAAGTAAACACAGGGTTAAACCTGAATTTACAAATCTGTGGCTTCTTTTCTGATTTCTAAATTCCAGGTTATCCAATTATTTTTGATATAAAAGCCTAGAGTGGCATCACTGCTTAAAACAAAACAAAGTTCTTACTTGCATGTTTCCTCAGTCATTTTGTCAGGATCCGTGCACTCATAGAACTTGCCCTGAAAAGGCAGCAAGGATGAGAACAATCAGACATGTATCTCCATTACAAAATACAGTGTTAGCAACATTCTGCTTTTAAATGTTTTAATATCCTTTTACTGACTTTGAAAAGTTGGACTCCAATGCAGGCAAACATGAAGTCCAGCAGCATGGTGACCAGTACAATGTTTCCAATGGTCTTGATAGCAACAAACACACACTGGACGACATGCTAAAGACAGAGATATTACTGAGGATAAATCAGTTCAGTATTAAGGCCATTTCAAACGGAAAGTCAATTTATCAACATCTTATACCTTGAGTCCCTTGGCTCTGTTAATGGCCCTTAACGGTCGAAGTACCCTTAACACTCTGAGAATCTTCACCACTGAGATGGCACTGGATCTAGAGGATGCAAACAAAGGCAGTAATATTGCTTAATACATCCAGGAGTCAACAAGTTAAAGATGAGAGCTTAAAGAGGGGTACCTCAGTCAGTACGCTTCAAACTTAGATTGTACACACATATTTTGAAACAAATGTCACTTTGGCCATCATTCAAAGGTAGACATGGTGAAGAGGGCTAGTATTCCGTTGAGGATGTTGTCAAAGTTTAGTCCTGAGTTGGATGGACTCCCTGAAAGCCGACATTTTGGGGAAAAAAATGTCTTCGAGCCTACGCTCCGAGATAACCTCTGTCCGAAAAGAACTAAAAGAGTCAATAGGACCACTGCAAGAGAAAGTCGAGCAACACGTGCAAACTGTGCTTGAGCTTGAATGAGCTGCTACGGACCATAGCAACGGCTAACGGAGCTGAAGCTACAGTTAGCAGGCTAACGGCTCAGGCTAAACATTTGGATGATCAGTGCGAGGACCTGGAAGGAAGATCCAAAAGGAATAATATTTGGCTGGTGGGCATACCGGAGAGAATGGAGGGGCTTTGTGCGACTGAGTTTATCGCCAAACTACTTGAGGAAATACTTTGTCTGGATGAAGAGCCCCTGCTAGATCGAGCCCATCGTATACTGCGAGACAGGCCCAGAGAGGGAGATGCACCCCGACTATTCATCGTAAGAGTTCACTACTTTCACATTCGCAATGAGATCCTACGTCGGGCCGGGGAACTGAACCTCAAGAAAGCGGCCACTCCAAGTGCTGTGTGAAGTAGCTCCCAGTCACGCTTTGTTTGTTTACGCCAACTTGGACTGCATTTGCCGTAGCTTTCCATGATAATTAGTAATTGATAACTTC